TCCCGGATTGGAGTGGGTGCAGACTGGGCTGAGGGCCACCCCCCCCCCATGCACAAATTTTGTGCACCGGGCCTCTAGTAAAGATTATAAAAAAATACTATGAACAACTCTCTTCCAACAAACTGGACAACCTTGACAAAATGGACATATTCCTAGAAAAATACAATCTCCCAAAACTCTATCAAGAAGAATAAAAGAATCTGAATAGACCGATAACTACCAATGAAATTGAAACAGTAATTAAAAAAAAAACCACACACACAACAAAAAACTGCCAGCAAACTAATCCCTGGACAGACTCACCGAGGGATTTTTACCAAACATTCAAAGAAGAACTAATACCTATCCTCCTCAGACTTTTACAAAAAATTTAAGAAGAAGGAACACTTCCAAGCTCTTTCTATGAGGCCAGCATTACCCTAATCCCAAAATCAGATAAAGACACTACAAAGGAAGAGAACTACAGGTGAATATTCCTGATGAACATAGATGCTAAAATCTTCAATAAAATATTAGCAAATCACATCCAACAATACATTAAACAGATCATACACCATGACCAAGTGGTACGAGTGTAAATTATGCATTTTTCAGAAAGCAATTATTACTAAGTAAAGCTGAACAAATATACATTCTATGACACTAAAGAAACTTATATTCACACTTGAACTTCACTAAAAAGGACCATCCCAGCTTGCATTTACCACCCATATATCCTGGTCTAGCATCCCACTTCAAAAAATCTGTCCCAGAGGCATGGTAGCGTCTAATACCTATTTCATGGACTTTTAACCTTAGGAAAAACTTGGCAGATATTTTATATTGGCTCATTATGTGCTCTATGGATACCAATTAAAACTTACCCTAAGAAAGGAGGCTGAGAGTAGACCAGTTTTTGATCAACATAAAAAGTTAAAACTTTAACGAGTATAATTCTATCACTAACTTCTACAAGAAAAAAAAATTTAATAAAATTTGCAGTTTTTTTTCACTGGACAAAAAAACAAAAAACAACCAAAAAAGCCTTTCTCAATTCTTACCTCAAAAATTTAAGACACAGTGAGTGTCTCCTCTGATAGAGACCAAACTATGAGGTCACCTCCACCAGGCAGTTACCAGGGAGGTTCTAAGTATTGGATCAGTTCCCATAGGACACCCATTATACCAGTGTCCTCCTCCAGAAAAACTTTTGAAGCATGTGAATGCAAAAATGCTGTTTCTGGTTGTCACTGGAATAGGACCAATAAAACCCTTGCAAATGCATCCTGAAAAGAGAAAGAAACTCACATCCATTCCCATAAGGAGACATATTGAGCATTGTACATAGTCACATCATTTATAAGACCAAAGGTTGTAAACAATTCAAACGCAAGCAGTAACATAATTTGCAATCATGCAAAGAAATACGATACTTATATACTATATGAAGTTAAAGATAAAAAGTCAAAGAAATATGCATGTATATATACATTATATATATGGAAAATGGAAATACATATATAAATAACATATATATGTTTCATTTTTATCTAGGTGATAAAATATCAAAACTAAACAAAAAAGTCATCAAATTAATTTTTATAGACAATTATTAACAAAAAAAATCAAGATGGTAATTGCTTCCAGAGAGGAAAGACTGGGATAAAATCCAAAAGATGCCCACAGGGGATTTGCAACAATATTGACAAAGTTCTATTCATTTAGCTTGATACATTGCTTACACATGTATTTGTTGATTGGTATTCCTTATATTGCACATATATGTCATACCTGTAGAATAAACCATTATAATTTTTAAATGAAATATGCCTTTCTTGATAAAGAAAACATATACTCTCAAATTGTAAATAATATACTTTTTTTTTTTTTTGCTTGGAATGAATTATTTTTGGAAACTTTGTTGAAAATACCATAAGAAAGATATACTGAAAATCTGAATAGTGTCTTAAAAAATGAGTGGATTTTGTGATAGGTGACCTTAGGATATTTCTGCCCTAATTCTACTTTAAGAATCTACCAACCTTTATAATTATAATCTCCTTACACAATTCTATGTATTTATTGTTCAATTATCCTGACAATATTTTTATTTTAGAAAGACCCCTGCTTCAAACATAGTGGTACGCTGAAGTACTTAGCTGTAGAGGGCCGCCTGGGAGGCACCTAGGGATTTTCTTATAATTATTGTCAGCTGAACTCAGAGCATAGGCAGCCACACCCTGGGAACGTGCTTCCCCAATAAGGCTGGACATGTTAATCAGGCAGGGGCGGAACTAGATATGTAAATCTAGGCCTTTAAAATAAACCTGCTGTGTGTCTCAGGCCGC